GATGAACGATTTTATACATGTTTTAAAAGATTTAAACGGTATATTTATTTTATATCTACAAATATGTTGCGGATGAAACATGGGTAGATGAAATAGTTGGTGTGTGATGAAATAAAATGATGAGAGATAGGTGATGATAGAAAGGTGATGATTATTAGGTAAATATATGATGATGAATAGGTGATGTAGGATGAAAGGAGATATCATAACCTTAACCGACAATGTGGCGATGTAGTCATCTACCAGAGTATAGATGGCGACCACGAACTATTCTAGACAACCCCGTGCAAACACCAGTAAGCCCATAACCTGTAGGTGATGAATTACGAGTTCAGGCGATGTTGTAACTATGTATTCATGCGATGATACTCTAACCCCTTACTATGAATTACGAGTTCAGGCGATGTTGTAACTACGTATTCATGCGATGATGCCCTAACCCTTGTTGGGCACGTATTGAGGGAGTAATCCCTGAAGCAATATTGTCTATGCGATGTAGGCGATGATCCTTATGAACAAACATATAAGGAAATGCGATGTAAGGAGATGAGAGGTAAATATTTTTGGATTGGTGTCTAAGCCCGTAACCATATTTGGTAAGTACTTGACCCGGTTGTGCATGATCCTTTTGGGTTGCCTTCACCAAAGCAACTTGACTGAAATAATAGAGAAAGAGGTTATTATGATTTATTAATATATAATAGGAATAATATATTAAGGGAGAAATCATATTTGTTTAATTAGTGTTGGTTAATAATTAATTAAGAATTAATTTTGTGATCAAATGTAATTAATTAAACTATAGGGGCTGAATTGTAATTGTGTGATAGTTTCAAATTAGGGCAATGGATGCCCTAAGGGAGAGGTGGACGAATTCAAGGGGATAAGGCCCTAGAATTCGTCCAAGGATAAGGTTCTAGACTTATCTTATGGATTGCTTGGTGGGCAAGCAACTAGAATTCAAGGGAGAGGTGGACGAATTTAAAATAATCCTTTATGATTTAGTAATTAAAATTAATTGTTTAATTTAGATAATTATTAAATCGAGAGTTTTAATATTTAAAATTTTAATTTAAAAGTTATAAATTTCGAAAATTTTAAATTGAAATTAAAACCCTAGTATTTTTAAATGTTTAAAATACACCCTATATTATTATATTATTACAAGATCAATATATATATATATATATATATATATATATATATATATATATGTATAACTAAAATGCTAGTCTTACCGTTAGTAGGCCATATTCACGAAGCCGATCTATAAGGGGGGTATAAGGTTATGGCCTATAAAATGGTCGTTTAACAGGTATCCACTCTTACCCACCGCTTCCTTGATTGGTGGAGGGTCGTTAGACGAACGGGTAGGATAGGGCAATCCTCTCTTCATTAATAAGTATAATGAAACTATATAAAGTAACTGAACGTTTTTACAAAATTCCCAATCCTAGTTACTTTAGGAAAAAGTGAATTGATGCAATCACATGAAATTACACTCTGCACCCTTGATAAGAAGTTAGTGGAGCGTGTGTGGTTAACTGGCACACTAATTGGTTCTTAGCAAAGATGGCAAATAGTGACTCATTGTTTGTCATAGTTCAATGGAGCCTGTTTGGTTAACCGACACATCGAATAGGTAACTGTAACAATGAGGGCACCATGTATATTTGCATGGTTATTCACACCCGCTTTGTGATCCTCGGTATCCCAGTCACAAACAAGAGGGGCATATCGAGATTTATTGAAAAGTTCAATGAATCTCAAAATCTCGGAATTCTCAATACATTTAAAACCTAAGCCTTATGTTTTGCATGGTGAAGAATCAGTGAATCATCATTCACTTACCTCCAAATTATTTGCATGTTGGATTACGGCATCCCTTTTCTAATGTGTAAATAATGTTGTTGGATCCTAGCCCCTAATTTCTCATTTTTCGGTGTTTAATTAGGGATTCAATTCTAAATCAACTTTTTCCTTTCTGTTTGCAGATGTCTAACGCAAATGCAAACAACGTTGTTGTTGGTTCATTCTCGCTAATGAGCCTATGTCAAAAGGTGACATTCGACGGATCGAATTTTGAACGAATGGATAAGATACATTCGCATGATTGCCCGCTACGAGGACAAAGAGTATGTCCTTAACGAGAAGCTTGAAAAGATCAATCAGGAAATCGCTACTCCCGAAGAAATGGCCATCTTTGGGACCCATGAGCGTGATGCAACGAAAGTCCATTGCATTATGCTGGCCACTATGAATTGTAACACCCTGATCCTTAGGTACTAATATTAGTATTACTTCATTCAAGTTTTTAACGATCTACTCGACGAGTTGGCTTCCCTACTCGTCGAGTAGTAGCGAGTTAGTCCGCGAATTTTAATGATCGACTCGCTGAGTCCAGGAAGGCACTCGACGAGTAGCTCCTGGCAAATGAAACCCTAAGTTAGGGGTCATGCACCCTATTTAAAAGGGCCATTAGCCTCCCCCAGCTTTCCCTTTACAGCTCTTCATCTTCCAAAAACCCAGATTCGTGTGTGTGTGTGTGTGTGTGTGATCTTTAATGGGTTTAAGCTTGAAGGAAGGACTTGGTGAAGGGAACACTTGAGGAAGCAAGCTAGAGGCAACAAAGAACTCATGGGGATTCAAGATCCACCCTTGTGAAGCACTCCCTGAAGGTATTAGGCCATTCCTTGGCTCATTTCCACCTAAAACCCTCTTTTGCATGAAATCTAAGAAAGGGCTTTTGAGTTTAAGCCAAGATCTGAAGTTGTAACTTCAGATCTGGACTCCATTTGGACTTTAGATGCATAAATTTATCAGTTGTGCCTAGCATGAGCCTCCCCCCTCAAGTGTATGATTCCATTCTATGCTTAGATTGCTATTTGAGAGCTTAAAAGCCTTGCATTCACGCAAAGTTTGCAACTTTACGTGAGAAGCATACCTTAGAAGCTTGGATATATAATTTGGAAGCTTTGCATAGCTTAAATGGGTCTACATGGCCTCAGATCTGTAGGAACTCGGTGAGTCGCATAGGGTGACTCGGCGAGTCTTATGAAGATAGGCATGGACTCGGCGAGTTGGATGAACAACTCGGCGAGCCCGATGAATGTTGCCATAAACTCAACGAGTTTGATGAACAACTCGGCGAGTCGGATGAAGATTGCTGTAGACTCGGATAGTCGAAGGAGCAACTCGACGAGTCACCTGGGTGACTCGACGTGTAGAATATTTTTCGTTGAAACTCGTCGAGTTAGGGTCAACATGGACTGTTAACTCGATCTTAACTGAAGTGGACCAGGGCGGATTTTGAGGGTAATGACTGGTTATCATATGTTGCTCTTTAGGCAGTTGAGTTGGAGCAGCTCGTGGGGTATATTCAGTCGAAAAGTGTTAGTTCAGCATTCGTGTCAGGTAAGTCTTCTCACTATACCTATGGGTCTAAGGCACCAAGGCCGGACCATTATGTGATTATGGTAAATGTGATAGATAGTTTGTGTTTGTTATGATATGTGATTGCATGTTGCATGAAGACCCCGGGGGAATCCCGTGGCATTGGATGTAAGACCATGAGGGGTAGCCCATGACAGTCATAGGTGAAGACCATGTGGGGTAGCCCATGGCATTAGGTGTAAGACCATATAGGGGAGCCCATGGTAGTCCTAGGTAAAGACCATGCGGGGTAGCCCATGGCACTATTATAGATTTTATGTATGCATGGCTTATGTGTTATGTGTGTAGCCTTTATGGCTATCAGGATATGTGTTGTGTGGTTTGTGTGTGGTATGATCCGGGGAACTCACTAAGCATTTCGCTTATAGGTTGTTGATTGTTGCAGGTACTTCGAAGCCTAAGGGCAAGGGCAAGGCGTGATGACGTGGCACGTACTCTACCTCTCTTTTGGATGTTTTGGGACTCTATGATGTTTTCAGAAAAAGACAACAATGATGTAATGAATGTGATTTAGAAACAAACGTTTTGAAAACCTATGGGATGTGTAATCGGTTAGATTAATTAAAACGAAAAATTTTCTTTGTAAAATTTGGGTTGTTACATGAATCTTGAACTCCAAAAGTCCTATGAGGACATGTATCCCTATGAAATGCACCAAGATTTGCTGGAGAGGTACCACCAAAGCGCAAGGCAAGAGCGCTACGAGATCATCACCAACATGATCACCGCTAAGATGGGAAGTGGAGAATCCCTAACCTCGCATTTGCAAAAGATGCAAAGGTATGTTGATCGTCTTCGCAAGTTAAATGTTAACTTTGGGGAAGACTTGGATATCGACATCATTCTCCACTACTTGCCTGTGACATCCCCAAAATCACGGCCAGAAAAGACCGATTTTGTTTATGCTTTGTTTGAAAATCAGAGTAACATTTTAAATAAAAGTGTTGCGGAATTTGTCCCAAAACAAAATATGATAAATATTTATCAAAAGATTTTCAAGAAAATGTATTTCATTAAAAGACTTGGGATGTCATGTTCGATACAGATCAAAAGCATAAACAACACAATATAAGTTTTACTACATTATTTCGTATCTACAGGCCTATATCCGTAATCCTTCATCCAAAACATCACATCTATGCTCATGCGCCACTACCTGTAATGCAAGAAACTGAGTGGGTCAGGCTTGGAAGCCTGGTGAGCACATAGGGTTTTCAACCCACAATAAATAAGTTTATTAATTTCATCAATCAACAATAACCCGATTACTCGTTCCCGTTCTCCTCACTTTACGTCCCTAAACACCTATCATAAAGGAACTAGCCTAAGGATCATCATCGGGATGGACACCACTGCTAGGGGTTCCTTGGGGGCCTTAAAGCCTCATTGTTCAGTCATGATTTTAGGGTTTTTTACTTCAAATTAAAGTTTGTTTATTGGATTTGGATCAACTCAAGAAGGCTATTATGCACTATGCTGACGTCTCAAGTCTGAACCATACAAAATCAACCTTCTATCCCTGTGCTACACCTTACTCTCTAGTCAGCATGTCTTTCTCCTCATCTGTCCGTCTGTTCTTCCCCAAATTCCCCACTTCTTCCCCAATTTTCAAATCCCTAATTCCTCCTACTTTCCTACTTTCACCACCGAAGAATCTTGTACCTATCAAAACGATAACGATCCAATCGATACCCACAAGACTATCTCCCCCGAATTCGACTTCACCGTCTTCATCGGACCAGAACACCCTCCAACCCATAGAAGAACTCCCCAAAAAGCTGCAAGAAATCGTCAATCTCTTCCAATCCGTACAGGATCCAAGAGCCAAATACGAGCAGTTATTATTCTATGGCAAAAAGCTTCAGCCCCTTGAAGACCAATTCAAGACTAACGAAAACAAGGTCATAGGTTGCGTTTCTCAGGTCTGGTTACGAGCCTATTTCGATTCCAGCAATAAAAATGTGATCTTTGAAGCTGATTCCGATTCCGTACTCACTAAGGGCTTAGCAGCTTTACTGGTTCAAGGTCTGTCTGGTCACCCAGTTCAAGAAATTTTAAGGGTTTCCCCCGATTTCATTGTTCATTTGGGTTTGCAACAGAGTTTAACACCTTCTAGAAACAATGGGTTTTTGAATATGTTGAAATTAATGCAAAAAAAGGCCTTGACTTTATATGTAGAAGCTGAGAAAGGGATTGAATCATCAACCCAGATTCAGACCCCCATCAAAGAACTGGAATCTGATTCAAAAATTGAGAACCCTGTTGAGAATTCGAATATTGATGATGGTGATTCAAAAAGTGAGAACCCTAATGGTGTTTTGGGAAGTAGAGGACAGAGGATATCAGAGATTTTAAAGAGGGAGCTTAAACCGATCGAATTGGAGGTCAAAGATGTATCATATCAGCATGCTGGACATGCAGGGGTGAGGGGTAGTAATGGGGAGACACATTTTAATTTGAAAGTGGTTTCAAAGGAGTTCGAAGGGAAGAGTATGGTTAAGAGGCATCGACTTATATATTCTTTATTGGAAGAAGAGTTACAGAGTGGATTACATGCTTTATCTATCGAAGCCAAGACACCTAATTAAGATGATGAAGTGCATTCTTGAAATGAGGTTATACTTTTTGTTTTACCTTTGAATTGATGTTCTTGATATGAAACTCACACACCTTTTTGCACTAGATGTTTGAAATACATAATAACAATCTTCATTGCTGTAAGTGGGATCAAGAATTGCATTATGTTCGGTTTTGTAGTTTTGTTTATATGCAATGTGAATAACTGTAGATATAATTATGAATCTTATCTAATCAAAACGATAAACCTGTCATATGAAGAAGACTGAAAAATGATACAGTTCGACATGACATCTCATATGTCAATTATACGAGTTTAACTTTGGGAAAATGTTTCTAAATAGTAATAAGTTTGACAATTTTAAAGTTTAACAACTCAAATTTTTGTTTTTGTTCTATTTATGATGACATGACAGTGAGATGGCAACATATTTGATATTTGAAATTTGAAATAAATAATTAATAAATTTCAGTTTTGTTCTATCCAGAGTATGCTCATGCCAGTAAACATGTTATGAAACTCGTATTTAATTGCATTGGAATTATCTCTGATTATATGTTGTGCTTGTTATTATCGAAGGCATCATTCACAAAAAAGAAAAAGGCAAATAACGACTTCCCATATGAACAATTTCTACTTCGTCTTGGAAATATCGTGTTCATTCATGCTAGCATCATACACAACACCTTGTAATCCGGATTCAGTTGAATCTTTGCCTTATCAGCAAAAGTATTCCCCACCGGATCTTTTGTCAAATATCTTCCATGTTCTCACCATGATTAGCATTGTGTCTATGGTTTAGTAAACCTAAGGATGTAATCAAGTCGATGCGGTGCACCAAATAAATAAATAACATGAAACTCAAGTCAAGCTCAATTGAGCCTTAATTTTGAATTTGAGCTTATTGAACCGAAACACTTTAAGTTGGTCCGGTTGTGTATTAAAATTGCAATAGAAATACAAATACATTTAAAGTTTATTCCAATAAAAATTGCAATTGAAATAGGACAAAAGTTGCCTTTGTGCCATAACTGAGGTTGCTTATAGAAAACACATCTTTATGGATTTGTGAGCTAAGAACATGTCAAGGACATATATGTCCTTTACTTTTATGTGCATTGTCACATTGAGACCCACCTTCTTGTCATCATCAATGATCTTCCCAACTTTCGTCGTAAAATGAACCCCATAATCAACATCACATAGTTGGTTGATTGAGATCAGGTTATGCTTGAGGCCCTTTACATACGATATTCTGGAGAACTTCAGATCCATAACCTTCAGTCTTGCATTTGTTATAATCACCAAATGTTATTACAAACCTATGTCATTGTCATGTGTTTGGAGCACCTACTGTCTAAATATCATATATTCTCTTGCCCCGGTGACACAATCAGAAAGAAGATTAAATACCTTTGGGAACCCATTTAGGAACGCGTTTGATTGAGACGGAAAGAGAACGCGTTTGATTGAGACGGAAAGAGAATGTGAGAAACATAATAACTTTCATTAGGTAAACAGTTTAGAGGGTTTTCTTTCTTTGTCCATTTTTTTATTAATTACTTTGATATTTTCAAAAAGTCTATCTCCTTGTTCATGTGGACAGTTAGCGTCTTAACGGTCGCCCTGATGCAATCTTTCACCGCAACTTGAGATACTAGCTTTGCGAATGCGAATTCAAACTTCTCGTCAACACACTATCATTGTTAGTTGCGGTTGAGTCGTCTACTTCACTAGCTAATACCTCAATCACCTTCTTGCTTTTGGAGATTGGTTTGTGTTTATATGTGTGTGTGTGTGTGTGTGTGTATATATATATATATATATATATTAGTTGCTCAACTTTTAAATTTATAAAACTGATTTTGTTGTAACCAAACTAATAAACACACTAGGCGGTGTATCTAATCGTGCAATCATATAGTTGTGGTAAGACCAGGTGTCGAACATAAGGGGAACGGTGGTGAATTAATTTGGAGTTTTTGATTATAGGTTACACTAAACACTGAAAAACAGTAAGAGGGGTTTTATGGAATTAAATCTCAAATAAACAACCAAACAGCAAATCTCGATAAATTGAATGAAGACAAATCTCTTTAGGTACTTTAATTTAAACTGGATTTCATCTCAAAATATTGGCTAACGACTAAGTGCAATGATTATTTATTCATTACTCACCGATTCCTAATATGACTAGCATCATGATCAAACTACTAATCCTTTGATTTTAACACAACTATTAATTCAATGATAAAGTGAACAAATAATTACGCAAATCAGTGTTCACTTCGTATTAATCAATATTTGATCTTTATTAATCCTAATGATCATAGGAATTAAATCATGCATAGAATGGTCATATACTCATGTACACACATTAAAGGTCATCACCTTATTTCCTAACCCAAGGTTTTGATCTAACTCTAGTCATAATTACCAATGATCATGGACAACTATGATTCAAATTAACACAGTCATAATGATCATCTAAACTCTATTAATTCAACAATAGGGAATAAAGTACCAATCTTTAACACATATGGATCTTGCAATCAAACTTGACGAATAAATTAAATAAGAATAAACAAGCTAAATAACAATTAATCCATAATCTCAATCTTCATCAAATTATAAACACAGAATAAAGGGTTTTAACAACCAAACCAGAAAGTAAACACATATGGAATCACATTGGAATGTTAATCATGATCTAAACAACAAACCAAATGATTTTTGGCATGGATCCGCTCTCTAATCCTTCAGATCTTCGCTCTTGTCAACTTAATGGCCTTACAGCCGCCTTCTAGACCCTCAAACAGTAGAAGAAGTGTTTCTTGTCTACCAATGATGGATAAAAGTTGTAATCTCCCATTAGGTTCACCAAAAATCGCATTATATAGGTTTTCTACCGACTTACGTACTCTAGGCGTACATGGGCTTATGCGGGGCGTAATTCATAAAATTTGTGTATACCTGTTGCCACCCAGCATACGGGGTTGGGCGTACTCCCCATTATGCAGTATGCTGGGCGTACTCCCCCATTATACTGGGTGTAATTGGCTTCCTCATCCATTATCTTCCCTTTTGCAATCCAACTCCAATTTCTAGTCTTTTCACTTCCTTTCCGCTCTAGCAACACATTATACTTGTAAAATATAATTAATGCATTATAAGTACCTTTTAGTTCTAAATAACATCAAAACATAGTATAAAATAATAAGAAAACGCCATAAATATATGTATAAAATAAACGTTATCAACGATCAAGAGAGAGGATCTCACTTTACTTCTTTCTTTTCATATCTTTAATATTTTCTTTTCTTTGAGCCTTTTTCTATTCATAGATTCTTAACTTTCCAAGCATGCTTTGAAGATCCATGGTCTTAATCTTCTCACTGTTCTTGAGGAGATCCACATAATGTTCCCAGCTCTCGTCGATAGAGTCATGAAATTTGAGAACAAGGACAGAGTTAGGTTTGGCTACCTTAAACTTTCTCATGTCATTTATTAGACAGTTAAAACGATTAAAAGTATGAGTTAGAGATCCATTCTTGAGAGCAAAGAAATACTCATACCTCCTATTCAGACTATGATTTTTGATTGGTATAAACTTCCTCAGTTCCTTCGTATGATATTTTTAATGTTTTTATTATCTATTTGGTTATGTTGTAGTTTTCAACTATAATAGACTTCATAAAAAGCAAGGCATTAGATATGGCAGCACATTCTCTGACATCCAAATTCACTTTCTTTTTATCATCTTCTTGTCACAACTAGCACTTTTGCTAGGAAATTCTACTCTCATGTAATCATTCACCCAGTGTAATAACTTGTACTCTAAGAGAATATCATACTCTATGGTCATTCAAATACATCTCATGTGTTCAACTAAGAGTCTGAAAACCCTAAGAATCCCGGTTTGAATCCATATTGGACTAGGATTTCCTTATTGGGCCTAATGGACCAATAAGCATTCAATTCAACTATTTTGGGCTTGGAAACCCTATTTGGATTCTAAATGGACCCAATTCATAAACCTATAACATTTTGGACCATTGGACTTAGAATGATTCATTCTAACCCTAATAGGCCTTACTGGCCATAACTAATCCAATTAACCCTAATAGGCTATAAATCCATTCTTTTATATTGGGTCGTGAATACACTTAAGGGCCCAATGGGCCGAAACATATTTATTAGGCTTCACAAAATCGAGAAAAACCAAGAGTGGGCTAAACTAATTCAATTTCATCCATATTAAGCCCAATTCCCGACCTAATGAGGAAAAGAAAAGAAAATTAAAGGGAAATTAAAGGAATTATGAGAGCTTGCCACCTCCTTATTACATAGAGGATCTCCATGCACATCACCTCACTCCTTCTCTCATCTCTTCTTCTTCTTCTTGGCCAAAACACCTCACACCACCCTCATTCTCTCAAAAATCTTTCAAGAAAACTCTCTCAAACACTCAAGAACATCCTCTTTCCTTCCATCCAAATTTTCGAGATCTCTAGGTGTTTCAAGAAGATCTTCACTAAAGATCATCAATCTTGGGTAAGTCATCACACATTCAAGCTAAACAACTTCATTTTTGTGTTAGAACACTCCTTCTAAACACTTGTTTGTGATCATACTCTTAGAAACCTTCTAAACTCGAAAACCACACAAGGAAAGCTTGTTAAGACCGAAAACAACATCATCTTCTCATATCCCTTCATCAAAACCGATCCATCACCCCAAGATGAGTTCATACCCCCTATTTTCGATTTTTACTTGTTTTTTGGGGGAGAATACAAGTTGTTTTGTGTAGATCTATGTGTATATACATGACTATATGTGTTTTCATGAATTATTTGGTGATTATGTGGTGTTTACTTCATAGATCTAAAAATATGTTAAGAACATGAAGTTTATCACTTGGATCTTCTTAAAAACCTTGAAAAAATATGTGTTATCACATATAATACATGTAAACTTGTAGATCTGGGATTTATACACTTAAAATAGCAAAAATGAGTGTTGTGTTCAAAGATCTATAAACTAAACTCATAAATCAGCCCTTGACAGAAAAGTTTTGGTCCAATCTCGGACTATTTTGACCAAATTAATGATAATATTTTTCAAAATTGTTTTACATGCAAAAATTTCAGGTTTATACCTTTAAAATGATTACTCTCACGTTTGCATACGATTTTTCTACAATTTTTAGCGAATTTTACAAAACTGCCTATCATTTTTTAAATAATTTCAGACCAGCCTATGAATGTGAGCAATTTCACACTTGTTAGAGGCCATTAAATATTATGATAAAAATTGTGAACAAATTGACAAAATTTCCAAACTTCCAGAATTTACGGATCCAAATTTTGACTTACGATGATTTTCTACAAATTTTCCAACCACCATGTCAGAAAAGCCAAAAACCAGAAAAATGTGTATTTTCACAAAAATCAAACCAAAAATGATATTTTTGACAAAAATGGATTTAAAATGTTGTTTTTACCAAAAACTATCCAAAAATACAAGTTTTGAACAAAATGGGGACTAAAGTGTTATTTTTACAAGATGAAGTCACACACAAGCCTCCAGGCGTTTCTGTCGTCTGGTTCGGGGGTGTGACACTTATGTTCATTGATGTATATGGTTATGCATAGATTTGGCTGGAGCATTTCATTCAACCATTGTGCTTATGGGAATGTATATACCTTCTGTTAATGTTTCATTCATGATGTTATCCATAGTTTCTAGAATCATCATGGTTTGCTTAACCATATAGAGAAGTTATTGTCATCGAAGGGTGGACACGTATTAGAGGCATTAGATTTGAAGCTTGAATAAGTTGTATTTGTTGAACTTGAGAAATATATTGATTGAATGAGGAACATAATGATTTGGAAGATTCTAAATTATGTTATATACAACTTGTTGGTCTCGTACGAAATGATTCAATCAATGTAACACACAATGAATACTTCGAAAATTAATTTATATTAATAAATTGCTTCAAATTTATAAAGAATGAATCAAATAACTTATTATAATTTGACACACTCTAACAAAACACCTTACAAAGAAAAAAAGTAGCGAAAGGAAGACATACAAAAAATAAAATCTAGTACTTAAATAGGTTCTGATGATATGGGAAATCTCTAAAAATTAGAGAGTCTTCCACAATATAAGGAAACTAATCCTTATCTATATTATGATATATCACATTCACTAATATATTGTGATTCATCCTTTGAAAACACGGCATCGATCAACTCTATGTCTTCAAAGGGTTATGGCTAATAGCACCAACTCACCAAGCTAATTGATCCATGGTTGGTAAAGTAGATGGTTGATGAAGTGTTTTGACTCATCGAATCATTGGGTTTGACTCTAACAATAAGTATTTACGCAAAGTTGTCTTGTCTTCCAATAATACATTGAATCATGGTTGGGAACGATTTTATGTTATTTTATTTTATTTTCTTTTAAGTTGTTATTAGGTAGGTTCCTTTTCGTTAATTAGTTTCCTTCCTTTTTGTAATAGCTTGTAAGGCTATAAATAGCCCCTTTAAAACAATGTAATCGAAACGAATAGTTGATTGAAGTTGAATTTTGAAAGGTCGTTCTTGCTTTCTTGAATTATTGCATATAATTCAAATTGTCGTCATTGTTTGGGACGTGTTTCTCATTCGTGACTCGATTTCAAGTCAATAGGTCTTGGTTTGTCATTACATATCATTTAATGGATGATTTCCTGATCTTGATAAGAATTCAAGTTAATAGGTCTTAACTTGTGTCACTCGCTATTCAATCAATAGATCTAGGTTAATTATCAAATTTATCCTTATTTGTTATTTTCTTATCGTTCTTACTCTTATTTTCTGTTGCGTTTATAAAATGAAAAAACTCAAAAAGAAATCCCCCCCCCCCCCCTTGCGTATTCGTATCATCTAACATATGTTGAAGTGGATGTTAGGATATTTAATAAGGTGGATAAGGTTAAAAAGATAGTGAAACGGAGGAAGTGGAATTGGAAGCTTATGTAGCAGAGGTGTCATTTTTGAAATTTGGAGGAAGAAGTCTATAGTGTGGAAGAGGTTTTGGTGCATGTTCATAAAGTTGTGAGAGCATTGTACATGTGTTTTTGAATATCGGAAGGTGTTGTATGTGTTTTTTGCAATAAGGGGAGGGTTTTTGTTGACAAGGGTATATAAGAGTGTTGGTAGGTTTTATGAAGGTAGGGTGATGGGAATATTTTTAGAGACAAAAGTGTGTAGGAGATGAGAAATTTTTTAGAAATAAGTTGTGTGTAGATGGAATTATTGTTGTCGATAGAATGTGAGAACTGTGTATGTAGAAGATGGAAATTTTTGTGTGGATAATAGGTTGGAAATGTTTAGTTTAGGTAGTTTTGAGATTAAAATAATTTCTTATGTAATATATTGTCAAAAGGTTTCTTATTTTAATATAAAAGCTTTTGATGTTAACCATTTATCCATCTTGTATGTCATTTTCAAATGTGGTCATTTTGATAATTGAAAATTCAAAGAAATTCATATGGGTCGATTTTTGAAATTATCAATTCAAATTTCAATAACGGTAGATGTTGGTGATAAAAAATGATGGACACGAACACGATCCAGAAGAAAACAAAAATTGGTTTTTGATTGAAAAAAAATTGTCATGTGGACAGACACGTGTTATGCCACATTGGACCAAAATGCCATATCATCTTATACTTTTAATTAGAGCAAGCCAATGTGGGACTAACTCATTTGGTTGAGATTTTGTTCTTAGATTTGAGGTTTCTAGTTCTAACCCAAAAGCTTGACAATTTCATTATACTAAGTTCTAACCATGTTGTTCAAAAAAGATAAAAAAAAACATTAGAGCAATAGTAGAAAAGAAAGAATCAAATACTAAAAATGTATTTGATTTAGGCAATTTTTACTCTAAATCTTGGACTACTTTTATAGGGTTGGAGATCACTCCACATTTCCTCTTGCCATCAATGTGGGATAAAATATTCATATTTCATTATAGCAAATACGAACATTTGATTAATGTGTTTATTTGACATTCTAGTTTTCTTTAGGAAAGAATTAACTGCACTCTCCTCCTTTGGCCGAATTTCATTAGGAAACATTCACAAGAAAGATATCATCATCATCAGAGCAGCTGATAGCTATGCACCTAAATTTAATGTCTATAAAACTCAAACTGTTGTCAAGCTTGGCCATTGACCAGCAAAATCAATCAATGTTATAAAGTACAGATTTCAAAGTAGGAAAAACAAGAATTTAATGTTACAAAGTACACATCTCAAAAGAAAATTTGTAATCTCATAATTAGCTTGAAATTTTGGAACAACTGATATGATGTTTAGCCTCCAAAAAGATAACCAGCTGCTTGTTCTTCATTTCCATTGAATAGCTTCAGAGCTTGTATGACTGAATTTCTATCAAACCCCAACTCAACAAGCTTCACAATTTTGGCTTCAAATTCAGCTCCCTGAAACCCACAACATACATTTAAAAAAATATATATTGAAATTATCATTGGACATACATTAAATCATTAACAATTGTATTAAATAAAATTTAAGTAAAAAAAAAAAAAAAGGTAACTCACATGTGCTGGCCCGCTGCTGGCAGGTCCTGCAGGTTGTGATCCGGATGTATCCTGAAAATTTATATTTTTTATAAAATCATGACATGGGTTTTTTCTAATACTCTACTTTTTCATTATTTATCCAGACATCACTTCACTTAATAGAATAAAAACAAAAAGGTCTTACTCCGGAGCTAGAGGCTTCCTTCAATTGTCTTTCCTCATCCAAGTAGCGATTCGGGATGTCCTTTTCTGTAAATTAATTGACATAAAAGGTTAAAAATGTCATATTTCACCCACAACACAACACAAATCTGAATGAAAAAAGTTTGTAACCTTGCAAAAAGGGCACAGAAACCTCGCCTCCACCAACTCTCAAGACATTGTCTTTTAAATCAATAATGCATTGATGCTTTCGCAGCATATCCAATCCAAACAGGAATTCCATGTTGGGAGAATCCAACACCAAAAAGGAACATGGATAGAAGATGTTCCCAATCTACCATACCATCATTTAAAAATGTCATTTTTTTTTTTTAAAAAAAATAATAATAATTTGTGAAATGAATTTAAAGCAAGAAGATTACTTTGATCGGTGCAACATGAATCCGACCAAGGATCTCCGACTGACCAACTCCTTGAGCAATGCCCTTGTAACGGTTGTCTAAAAGCCTAAGCAATCTGAAAAAGACCATTTTACCCTTACGTTCCAGTATAAACAAATTTCATCGATTTTAACATGAGAGGAAAAAGAAAAGAAAAAGATTAAATATTAGGTAAAAGGTTAATGTCTTAATACAATAAGCCATGTTTCTTTAAGTCGGTCCATTCCAGATTAAGTCAAAAAGAAAAACTGAAAGTAGAATGTTGTTGTAATAAGAGTATGATGCCCTAATTAATAATGGGAAAAGAATGCATACCCCAAACGCTCTGCACAGCTTTTTGATATTATAGTTGACTGTGCTCCACTATCAACAAAAGCCTGAAATTTAATAAGCAATTACTACTCAATGATACATATGTTCCAAAGAGTTTAACAACACAGGAATGAAATTATAAACAATGATATAGCAGTTGGTTGGTATTTGGTATTTGGCGTTTGGTAATGTAAAACATGTCAACATAATATTTTATAATCATTACCTTCATGGGAATGCCATTAACTTCCATGTCAACATACAACATAACCTGAAAAATAACTCAAATAAGTGTTAGCTTGCTATGAACAAGATTTAATTGTATAAAGTTAAAATACATAAACATACCACTTTTGCAAAAGCTTCAGGGTTGTGTTCTAGTGCAGCAGCCCAATTCTCATCAATACCTTTCTGTAAAATAAGTCAGAATGAGTTTACAATTATATAATATTTTCACGAGTGAGAAAAAAAAAATGATAAATGATAAATAGATCCACATCCACACACCTGGCGGATTGCAGCTTCAATTTTCTTTTGTGCTTCCACATCAAAAGGGTCTGCATAAAGTAGCTCCTGTGTTTTGATTTTTGATTTTGAAACAAACAAAATATCATGAACAGTGTTAGTAGATACAAAATTACACAAGATATCTGCAAACATGGGGCCCCACAGTCTTCCTAAAGCAAACTACCATTAATGCAGGTAATAGCCTAAGACAAATCATAGAGCAACTTGAGCCCTATTTCTTACAATTTTATAGTAACGTCATCTAGATGCTAATTAGGTAAATTTTCCCAAAGTAAAATGTCCTATGGAGAAACAACTTGAAAGGACAATGCTATAAGTGGATTAAATTTTCAATGTATACCTGTTGAAGCACACATCTTCACAATCAATTTGTTAACTTTAGGGTTAAATGCCAAAGGGCTAAATGTAAGAAATAGCAATGCAAATTTTTTTATTTGTTTATTATAACTTCTCACTCTTGTTTCTTTATATTAAACACACCATTGTACTTTCAATTGTTTTTCATATTATGAAATTGTGCTTTGAAAGAAAATTGTTTTGTATTTGAATGACATTGCTATAATTGGGTAGATTTTTCTAGGCTCACTGAATCTCGGCTCAAATGTCTAATTAGTATATATGAAATGAAAGAATGATGGCAATCTTATAGAAATGGAAGGAAGAGACAAACAAAAGAAAATTTCATAAAACGTTAAGAACTTAATGCAAAAAGCATCGTTTTCCTGACTTTCTCTAATTAAGTCCTTCTTTTTGCATCAAGACAAAAAGAAACAGTATAAGCAACTTACCATCTCTTCCTCCTGTTGCCTACGCAACTCAGATCTCTGACGATGTCTCATCCTTAAAATGTCCTGCAACTTATTCAGGTCATTCCCAAGAACAGCTTGTGCCAACTCAGGATCACTCTGTTATTCATATCAAGGATCAGGAACACCACAAGATAAATGCACGTGTGAGTAGACAATCACAATTTTTACCTGAAACAATTGGGCCATCAAATTCGAATTATTCCTCACTTGCTGCTGAAATGCAGCTGCATCTGCTGCAGATCCATCGGGATTTAACCTAACTTCATTGCTAGAACCCCTGAATTTGATGATATATCTATAAGAAACCTTATCGCTGGATGTCTATATCAAATCGAATTAAAAGCATACCTTGCGGAAGAAGAAGAAGAAGGACTGGAAACCATCATCACTAGATCACCATCTGTAACACCCAAACGACTCAGTGTCTCGGAATTCCCCATCTCTTTTCCATTGTACAGCAACTGTTGTTGCTGAAGTGGTACTTGAGACTACAAACGAAACGATGTATGTGTGAAATTTCTAGTGAAGTATCTAATTTAACCCTTGACAAGTACAAACTTAGAGATCAAATATCAGATTAAACCCTAGTTTGGCAACGATGAGTTTGGATAAAGGTAACTACTATTAGTAAATTCAAAATCTCACCTCAATTTCAAGCAGGGCTTTCAAATTTTCCACCTGTTGACACAATAAAGTTGTAGTTTTTGAGATGGGGCCATAATCAAACAATTAAAACAACCGAACATAAAGTTTTTTAGGGTTTTGAGAGGAACGATGTAAAGAAAGAAAGAAATTTTACGGATTCGTCGCGATCCACTTCCAAAGTAATAATTTGTTCATCGGCCGTCATTACAGTGATCTTCATATCTTCAGCGATTTGATTGAAACTTCTCAACGAGGATTTGCTAATTTACTGTGGTTTCTTGTTGAAGGTTGTTCTTGTTGACCTCAACAAAACCCGGGATCACCAAGGGTTTTAAAGTGATCACCATTTATCTTTACAGCCAATAATTATCCTTAATTATCCTTAGTAAATATTATAGGATAATCACACAAAAAAATGTATTATTATAAAATTAAATTTAGACTAAATTATTGAATTAAAAAATGTAATGTATCTTTATCTTTACTACTTATAAAAGAAATCTAACTATTTCTATAAATAGATTGAATATAATAATATTATTTTTTTAAGACGTCCAAACTATTAAGCTTGAAGTACAACCCATTTATAATATAATAATATTAAAACTTTAATCTTATCTTTTATCCCCTAAAAATCTCGTATCAAGTTAATAGAAGAATTTATTTGCAAATTGAACCCGTCAATCTCAACACTTCAGCCATTTGAAAATGTCAATGTCAACAATTTATAGAGGATCTCTTCTCTCACATTGGTAACAAGTCATCTCATAATATCTATCTTCGTAATCCCTTCAAAGTAAGAAATATACGCACACTCTCTCGAAGAACCCTAACCAGTAACCAAGACAGTATAACCACCACCACCACAGCTGCTCTGCCTCCTTCCGCCTTCAACCAACCACTATCACGACTACCGCCCTTCATCTCACCCACGACGTGAACTTTCTTTTGGAACATAACATTTTTCTTTAAAAAAATATCGTTGAAAGAAGCTATTTGTCCCCGCCGCTGTGCGCGGGTAATGGCTAGTTATTATAAAATAAAATTAAGACTAAAATTATTGAATTGGTACATGTGTTTTATATGATTATTTTGAAAAGAAAATGACAAAATAATCTAATTACATTATTAACTTTTTAAATTTTAAACAAAAGTTAATGATTATATCAGAATAGTTATGTTTTTTTACCACTAACTGGAAAAAAAATTGTTATTTATGAAAATCTTTGAAACAATATCGTTTTAAATTTTTTTTTTTTTTTTTTTCAGATAAAGCATATGTAAAAATCTAACTCAATCAAAAAAACAAAAAAAATGATCCTAAACTAGATTTGACCAAAAAAAAATGTAAATGTCTATCTACTAAAATTCAAGTTTTACCTATAAAATTGAGTTTACACGTGAAAACTAAAATTTCACTAAAATGAATTTGAAGTGTTATGTTTAATTGTTCAAAAACCATTTCGACGGCAATCATTGAAGGTGTCAGATCTAACTTTACCATATATAATTGTCAGTTGTGGACAACGTTGGAGTACGTCAAATCATAATAGATTAATGTCAAATCTCATGTATCTTTGTCTCGAAGGCATATGATATTATCATCTTAGTATTATATTGACTAATTCTGTAAGTGTGAGTTCTTTCAATACACAATCATCATTGCGTACATGTGGATGTTAGTTACATCACTATGTTACAAATGTCCACGAATAATCTACAATACCTCATATTTGTTATATTTCATTAATTTCTTCTTTAAAGTATGAGTGACTATTGATATTTTGAATACAATAGTAGTCATGAAAACGTAAACATGTAAAATTAAACATAAAATATTAATTAAATCAATAGTAATTGTTTACGGTAAGATCTACATTTAATAATCATCACATCATTTTAAATTTCATATTTTATTTGTTCTTCGTATCAAATCAATTAATCTTACTAAAGCTCTTTATAGCCACTTTTTTTCTACAGGTAGGTAGACATTTTCATTGTAACCTTTTTTAGAATATCACAAGCGTCAAAACGTTTGTATATCTTCTTCTCCAGGTAGACATGGTCCAATGTCTTTCACAACTTACATATGTCTTCTGAGGTGGAAACACTTGCACAATCATTTATAATTAAATGTTCCTTTCTTTCTTGTTGGTAACGATGTAGGACTACTTCCTACCCACATGCAATGTTCATTTATTTCTTAATTCAAAACATTCATCCTCTTCTCTCCCATATTTTTTTGTTTTTTGTATTACTTTTATTACTTTTTAAATTAATTAACTAGAAAGGTTTCCCATGCTCCGCATGGGTCCACTTTCTTTCATCTCAAACTCAAGAATTGGAAGAACACCTTTTTCTTGATTTCAAATTTTATTCACACAAAATTCAGCCTAAAAGTTCCATTATGATGATTAAGTTCCAAAATATCAACATCTTTTAATTAATTTGTTTATTATAGCATATACCTTTGGTTTTTCCTGTTAAAACATTGTACTTTGAAAAATTCATGAAATTGTAGTGATGTATGTGTAAAGGCGATACAGTGATAAACTTTTCAAAATATAACGTACAATGGAAGTAAAATTTGATAAAACCGGTTTATATTATCAAAGTACAATGCATTGATGAAAGTGGAAGTAGAATCATATAAAAGGAAAAAAAATACTACTATCATGATACACAAGTAAATAAAAAGCACATTGTTATTTCTTGAATTTTGCAGTTGATATTATCAACAACACTTAAAGAACTGCTTCAAGGCTCATTTTGGCATAGATCTCGCCATACATTCACTTACAATTTTTATTTCAGCTGAATTTAAAAAAAATACAAAATAAAACATATCATAATCAAAAAAAAATTAAAAAAATACATTTAAAAAAAAAAGATTCATTACATCATATCATATAAACATGTAGAGACAACCCTTTTGCACAAGAAAAAAAAAAACAAATCTTTCACCACACTATTTATATCACAAAAACCAATCTTAAATTCTTTGGACCGAAAAAAAACTTTATTACAAAAAATATTTAAAAGAAATTTCTAACCTTCGTACTTGATGATTCAACCACAAAGCTCTTGTTTATGCTCAGATTTGGAGATTTTCGATATGCATTTGACATCTATAAAAAGAAAAAATAGTAATTTGATAAGCAATTCCATGTCAAGGGTGTCATAGTATCTTACGTTATAAATGGTATCTTGAAGAATAAGCATTGTCACTTTCTCTCTTGTTCTTTATAGACCTTACTTGCATTTAGATTATCAAGTTTATGCCAAACAACCACTTATTCTATAAAAAGTCGTGCTCAAGTCTCAAAGACTGCATTTGTGCTCTCGATCTATGGTCCTCTTCACCGTAATGCAGTAGTTTCAATTCATCGGATCCTAAGGTATCATTTTAATAAAAACAAGATTAGCTGACACACGATAGTGAATATCATTATTGTGACAACCCGAAATTTCCATTCTGTACAAACTATATCACTTCAATAGAAGTTATAGCAGTCACAGCTAATTTTCAGACTTTTTCGTGTAAGTTTGAGTAATTCGGGGTTTACACTTCAGGAAATATCAGGAGAGTGGGTGCACTAGGGTTTTGTGCAACACTGTTATTCCAACACTCTATTATATTAGAGATCATTTCAGGAATAAAAATATTTTCTGCCAAAAATATCTCAGGACTATAAATAGAATTCTGAACCAAATTCATTCATTGTGCAACACTGTTATTCCAACACTCTATTATATTAGAGATCATTATTCGCATTCTCACCCTGGAAGGGCTTGATACGCTTTGGAAAGCGTGGGAAGCTCAATCCAAGATACATAGGGCCTTTCGAGATTCTCACGAGAATCGGCCCTGTAGCTTACAAACTCAATCTACCGCAAGAACTCAGTAATGTACACCCTACCTTCCACATCTCGAACTTGAAAAACTGTCTATCCGACGAGACTCTTATTATCCCACTCGACGAGATCGATATCAACGAGAGCCTCAGCTTCGTGCAGGAACCAGTAGAGATCATGGACCGAGAGGTCAAGCAAACAAAGAAGAGTCGTATCCCGATAGTGAAGGTGCGCTAGAACGCAAAGCGCGGACCTGATTCACTTGGGAACGAGAGGATCAGATGAAACTGAAATACCCTCACCTTTTTCGCTTAGCTATTTGTAACTTCTTAATTGCTTAAATTCTAATTTCGGGATGAAATTCCTTCTAATGGGGGGATGATGTGACAACCCGAAATTTCCATTATGTACATACTATATCACTTCAATAGAAGTTATAGCAGTCACAATTAATTTTCAGACTTTTTCGTGTAAGTTTGAGTAATTCAGGGTTTACACTTCAGGAAATATCAGGAGAGTGGGTGCACTAGGGTTTTGTGCAACACTGTTATTCCAACACTCTATTATATTAGAGATCATTTCAAGAATAAAAATATTTTATGCCAAAAATATCTCAGGACTATAAATAGAATTCTGAACCAAATTCATTCATTATTCGCATTTCCAACTAGAGAAAAGCCATTTTCTCTCTCACAGATCTTCGAGTTTTTATACCAAAACGTGAGTAACTCTTTCTAGTAGTGTTAGAAAGCTTTATATGTAGTTATAACATGATTTAGATGGCTACATCACTAGATTTAGGAGTTTACTCCCCAAGGTGTTCTTGGGCGGTAACTCCCGAAGCGAAGCCTAGACTGTCCCCCGTGATATACTACTGCCTTGGACTTGTATAAGAGTGTGTTAGGGACATGAAATCAAGCAAGAACAACCCAAGTTTGTGAGTTCACGGCCCAAGAGTATCTTAGGTCGTAAACTCCATAATCATGCTCAAAATGGTGCTTTTAAGGCACCTAAGGCCTTAGACTTTCACCTAGACTTGTTCCCAATAAATCAAGGGCCTTAAACACATAAGAATCACCATGCAAAGTGAGTTTACGGCCATGACATGGTTCATGGGCCGTAAACTCATTAAAGGGGCACCAAAGTGTGTCAAGGGTCTTCATATGCTTGGAATAAAAGCCTAGAACCCATACCACTTGTGCATGAGACTTGAAATCATCCAAAAACACCCATCCTTAAGAGTTTACGGCCGCAAACTCTAAGGGAAATGGCCTTAGGGCCGTAAAATCCTCAAAGGAGTGTTTCTAGGTCTTAAACCCTTTCAAGAATTTAACCACCAAGTTGGAATAATTCTAGGAATCATTT